CCCCAAAACCCCAAAACCCCAAAACCCCAAAACCCCAAAACCCCAAAACCCCACAAATTTTAAGATATATAGAATATATATTATGGAAAATAGTCCATTAAAAGTCGGCGACGCTTCAGCTCAAGAATCTAAGAAAGAAGAGGTAAAAGAACTAGTCAGGATGAATATTTCTGCCTTACAATTCAAGGTTTTGAAGCAATGGGGGTTTGCCAGGGCATCTCTCTTAACTCTTCCACACGGAGACGTTAGGACCCCTGTCTACATGCCTGTAGGCACGAAAGGAGCCATGAAAGGGCTTCTTCCTAAGAACATGAAGGATGATATTGACTGTGAAATAATGCTTGCAAACACTTATCATCTCTTCCTCAAACCTGGGGAAGAGATTCTTGATAGAGAAGGAGGCTTACATAAGTTTGCAGCTTGGGATAAAAATTACTTGACAGATAGTGGAGGATTCCAAATTGTCTCTCTCAGTGACCTCAATGAGGTTACTGAAGAAGGAGTGACTTTTGAATCACATATTGATAAGATGAAGTTCCTTCTAACTCCTGAAAGATCAATGGAAGTTCAAAACTCTATTGGAGCAGATATTATGATGGCTCTTGACGATGTTGTCCCTCCAACAATTACAGATGCTGATAGATTAGAAGAAGCTATGCATAGATCAGTCAGATGGCTTGATAGATGCATCCTTGCACATAAAAAGCCAGAAGTACAAAATCTCTTTGCTATCGTTCAAGGAGGTTGTGATGACGATCTCAGGAAAATATGTTGTGATGAAATGATCAAAAGAAACACTCCAGGATATGCTATTGGAGGGCTTGCTGGAGGAGAAGACAAGGAAGATTTTTGGAGGACAGTTCATACCTGTACTCAACTCCTTCCTGATGATAAGCCAAGATATGTAATGGGCATTGGATATCCAGTAGACATACTCATCTGTTCATTGCTAGGAGCTGATATGTACGACTGAGTATATGCTACAAGAGTTGCACGGTTTGGAACAGTTTTTACTAGAAATGGAGAAATCAAACTTCGTGGATCAAGTAACAAGAACCAGTTTATCCCTATTGACTCAAAATGCCAATGATATACATGCAAAAACTATACTAGGTCCTACTTATGGCAATCTTTTACAAGAGATTCTAGCTGTCTACAACTTCTTAGTCTTCACAATGTATACTTCCTATTAGACATAATCAGAGAATTCAGACAAGCAATACTTGACGAGAATGTTGAAGAATATATGACAAATTTCGTCACAGATTACTACATCACCGAAAAAGATGGAGTTCCTCAATGGGTCAAAAATGCTCTGAAAGCAGGAGGCATCGATATGTCTTAAATATCTTTCAACATTCCATTATCTCCTCGGGGTTTTGGGGTTTTGGGGTTTTGGGGG